AGAAAATTTATCATATTTTTGGCAAAGTTTCATTACAGTGAGACATCTTGTTCCAAATCACTGTTCTAACGATACTGTTAATTGCTGAATTTGCTTTATTTTATTGTACTTTTCGTTCCCTTTGATTTAGAAGAATCGCTTGATTGGAAAACATAGTGATTCGTATGAATATTGGTGTTTGAGAGCTTCTTAAAAGCAGTTATTTATTTTGCATGAATTCAGAGTTCGATTATGCATGATAATCGGACCAAAAAAATTCAACGTAGAAGTCTTGGGAGGCTTAGGCTTGGTTTTTGAAGTCTGCAGACTTCGTATTTTCACTGTTAATGAGAGTATTTATAAAGATACATCAGAACTTTTGCGAGGAACCCTGAAATATCAGTAGTCTTGTGTACGTTAGGATCTTAAACTTCTTTTGTCGTGTTCTTATACAGTCGTTCTAATGTTTTACTTTTTCGTTGGAGTTCCTGAACAACAGAAATGTTTAAGTTGTTCACTATTCTGTTGGAACGATTGGGGTTCACACCTGTAACAACTGCCTTGACTGCTACTTCGTTCTACAACACCAAAGGCTGGGAAGGAAATTTTGAGAAGTTGCTATTTTTTGGCGAATTGAACTTTTTAATGCAAGTAGCAAAACTTATGATTTCCAATAAAGCTGTTCTTCTCTAGCTAATTTCTTTCAACTCCGTCGCTCAAGTTAAGCCCATTTTTTTCGGAAAAAATAAAAATTTTTTGTATTTTTATAAATTTTATGTATTTGTGGACTTGAAATGGCTTGTACGAACAATTAAAAAAAAACCAAATTTATTTGTTTATTGCAATAATAAGGCAGTAATGCTTTACTGGTGGACTTGGAATGAAGACTACAGAATTTTTAAAGAAACAATTGCCTTTTGTTATGTTGAGGTGAGTTTGAACTCGTTTGCAGCAGAAGCGTTTGTTAGCTGTATGAAAGTCTGCATAACTTAATTCATCCAATGTCGCACAAAGATATTTTTACTTTCTTGGCCATTCAAAGTTTTGAAATTTTCTCACGTTTTCCGAAATATTTTTATCTATTCTTTTCTCTTCTGACTTAAAAATTGTTGCAAAATAAAATCTGTAGAAAGAATCGAACAAAAGTACACTTGTTGTGCATTTCTATGTATAGTCGGATTCATTTTTAATTTGGTGTGAAAATTTTTGCTGGCGAGAATGCCTCTTCTGGGGAAACTTCAACGGTTTCCGCTCAATGTCACTGTGTTATACGGAGGCACCCGGTTATCCGACCAACCTATGTAAAGGTGTGCTAAACTTCCTTGTCATATGTTTATATGATGTCTTATAAATAACACACTGTTTGTTTATGTTTTATCTCTTTGTGCTCCAAATTTTTTTCTTTTTGGCTCTTTTTTCGCTGAGTTTTTTAGCGAGAATGCGACAGGTTTCTATTATGAATACACATCTTTTAAAATGTTCATTGTTATAAATTGGCTCATTTCGCGGAAGCATTTGTTTTTTTTTTTTTT